TGGGAGCCTGCAGATGGTCTTATCTGAAGGCTTCTATTTCCTTTGTGAAATAGGAAGCAACATCATCCGTTAAGAGGGTGGATTAGGGAGGAGATGTTGGAGGTTTAACGAAAGAGGAGAAAGTGTGAAATAGATTGGAAATGCAAAGGCCCACTTGATAATGGTTGGCAAGAGTTTAAAATGACACAAATCAACATGGCGTTGTGGTGTTTTTTTCCCCTCTTCCCTAAATACATAGAACTTCTTGGGCACAAATGTGGAGCAGGTGAAGAGTCGGATTTACCTGAGGTTGATTAGCTAGCAGGGTATATCAGAGAGAGGAAAGATGAGCAGGGAGATGAGGATTCCTGCTGACATCACAACGATGGCCATGGAATCTAAGCAAGGGCAAGAGACAAGTGAGGACCTGGGGAAGGTGAGGGACAGCGTAAGGGTGAGAGGGTCAATCCTTCGAGATCCCTGTAGACTAAAAAAATTTTCAGAGTTAGAGACCTGTTGGAAGGGATGCCTGGAAAGATATGAGGTGGTGTTCCGAGAGTGTGGTGTTAGCGGGGAGGCTCTGAAGGTGGCAAAGCTACTGCTTATGACAAGGCTGAGGCATGGCCATTGGGGTGGAAGCTGAAGTGAGATCAAGAACAAGATCTTTTGCAGGCAATGATCTTGAGGAACTGACATGCCAGGGTGCAGGTGGCTTGTCTATAAAAATATTAAGGCCACTGAGAATGACCACCTTTGCTGTGGTGGGAAACAGTGAGGCAGGACCCAAAACCTTCAATGAATGATGGGGAGGGATGGGAGAATGGGGGAGTAGACTTGTGTCAAAAGAGCCGAAGAAGTCTTCCTCCCTAGGAAGGAGGAAGCAGCAATGAGGAACAGCACTGCCTGGCTCACTGCTAACCCCAGATGTAGGTAGGATTAGAGATTCAAAACAAAAACCAACCACCACTTAAGGGGAATTCTAGAAAGCAGTGTCCTGAGGGTGAGCAAGATATAATCTTCTCAACTCTAGTAACTGACTTGGCCATGCTATGCTGCGGGACATATATGGCTGTAGATGATGAGGGGACACACACACACACACACACACACACACACACACACACCATCCCAGACCCTCCTGATGCCAGATCCTCAGCACTATCTTTGCTCACCAAGGTCAACATGGCACTGGGAAGCAGGCAAAGGGCCCAGGCATCAGAAGGCCACATCATTCACTGCTGTTCCTCAACATCACCATTGTGTGGCCAGCCTAGCCATTGTCACTTGCTTCAGTCTACAGGTTGGAAAAATGAAGCTCAGAGAGTGAAGTGACTCAACAGTCCATGCAGAACCAGGAACGATCCTATGTCTTCTGAGTCTTCCCAACCCCTGCTTTGGCACTAGCCAGTCTCTCCCATTTCCCAAGGATGAGACATATCTAGAGACATTTTTTTAGAAATACACATTTCTGGGCCCCATATCTGGAGATAGGGCTCAGTAGATACGGAACATGGCCCAGGAATGAGCATATTAACAGCCACCCCAGGGATTTTTATCCTGACGGAAGTTTGGAAACACGGCAGGCCCCCACTCTGTCTTCTCTATTGACTTATTTTGTGTAGCTGAGAAAGTTACTTCATTTCTCAGGACCTCAATTTACCAGCCTTTGAATTGTGCACTGCAAAAGTGACCCATTGTTCTGTGCTAGTTTCCCAAAACTTCGTCAGTAAAAAGTCTTAATTGAAAAGCTGAGACTGTGGTGCCAGGTGGCTCAGTCGGTTAAGTGTCTGACTCTTGATTTCAGCTTAAGTCATGATCCCACAGTCTGTGAGTTCCGGCCCAACACCAGACTTGCTGCTGTAAATGCAGAGCTTACTTCAGATGCTCTGTACCACCCCCTCTGCACCTCCCCTGCTCATATTTTCTCCGTCTCAAAAAGAAATATTAAAAAAAAAAAAGAAATAATTAAAAAAGAAAACCTGGAGACCAATATTCTCACTAATGGATGGAATGAAAAATGAACACCAATGCAGAGCCCATAGTCCTCCCTGTGTGGGGGAGCTATGGGTTTTGGGGACATACTCCTTCCATCTGCATCACCTACCAGGCTGGAGTAAAGCCAAGTTGATGAACCTCTCCAAGCCTCAATCCCCACCCCCCACTCCGTGATGTGATTATAATTCATACCTACCTTGTAAGGTTTTGCAAGGTTTGGAAAATATTGTATGTAAAGGCCTATGTATAGTGTTTGTAAGGTTGGGGTTCATACGGTAGCTGCTGGTGCTAGAAGTATAGTAATGGGGGTCATTGAGATTTTTAAATGAAGCTTCATCATTCCCTAAACCAGACAAGGGAGATCTGGCCCCAGGACAAGGGCTCTTCATAATGCCCTTGTGGGTTTGAGAGCGCCAAGCCAGGAGCTGATGTTGGGAAACCCCAGAGAGCCTGTTCCAATCGATACACTAACATTTGCTTTGTCCTCAAGTCTCACGCCCATGTTGACATAATGTCCATTAGAGGCCAATGATGAGCCCGGGGAGAGTAATGGGCTGGAAGGAGGCGGCAGCATGCTGGATTTGGCACTTGAGGAGATAGTGTTTTAATCAATTGCAGGTTGTCGTTAATGTCTGGGTGAAGGCTGGGTTGAGGTCAGGTGTATTATCATGCTTGTGCCCACCTGACAAACAGCATGGGGTTCCCAGCTCAATAAGGAAGCGGCTCTCAGGGTCTCATTAGCTTCTCGGTGCCCCAATACCAAGTGTGGCCACCAGCAGGAATTTTACTCTACGAGTCATGCCCTGTGGTTGGGAACTATGGAATACCCTTCTCTCTAGACAGGGCTAAGCCACACAAAGCCAATTGGTTAAGCTGTTCAATCATTACTGAACTTGAGTCAAAGTTCTGTCCCTGAAATTCAAACTTATGGCTATTTCTCTCCCCCCCTCCCCCTTGGAAAGCAACCAAGATGCAAACAAAAGAAGGGTTGATTTGCTTTCAGCGGTGCCTCACGGTGGCCACCATTCCCTTAGGTCATTTACTTTGTGCCTGGATGGAACAGAGTAACAATAGAAGGTTATATATGTTACAGTCTGTCCACATACAGGAATGTTGTGAGGTTGTTAAAAACAGTGCTGGGCTTCCTATCATAAACCCGGAAATATCAGGCCATACAAAATATTACAAACTGTATAGACAGTGGTAGTCCATGTTTGAAAGGAAAAAAATATGTGCACACGCTCACACTGAAACAGAGAAGGGCGCGCACAAAAAAAGACTAATACTGTCCCTATGTCAGGGCTCTCAACTGTGGATGTGTAGCAATGATGCAAATTTCTGTTTCCAGTGGGGAATGACGGGTATTCTTAATGTCCTGCTTTATGACTGTCTGTCCTCTCCAAGCTGTCTTCATTAAATATACGTGTCTGGTGTAATTTTAAAAGCATAAATAATGAAGAGAGGGGCAGCCAAACAGGCTCTATAGCATTCTTTAGAATGGTTAAAAAATGACAAGATCTAAAAATCTAACAGCAAGGGGAAAGCTAAATCAAATACGGTACATTCACACAGTGGAATATTAACTGGCACTCAGATTTCATGTTGAAAAATCTCTGACACCCATGGTGCTTCGCTTGAAGCCACTACAGTCCTTTCCTTCCTGTGTGAGGGCTGAAAGGTGAGGGACCGTGCTCTCCGAGTCTGGGCTCCAGGAGGTGACCAGATTTCAAATGAACATATATTTCTGCTGCTTCTGCTGCTGCTGCTGCTCCCATGGCTGGGGCAGGGGTGCCCTGCTGCTCCGTCCCGTGCAAGGATTCTGTAAAGCGCTAAGCTTCAGAAATAAATCCCTTTCTGTTTAAAACTCAGTGCACATAGGAGAAAGATTTGCTGCCATGTTCTTTCTTTCTAAAACACGAGGTACAATACTCTATCTATAACATTATCACAGAATTGTGGGTTTTTTAAAGTTTTTATTGATTTATTTTGGGAGAGAGAGCAAATGGTGCAGAGAGAGAGAGAGAGAGAAGGAGAGAATCCAAGCAGATTCTCTAGGGATGTGGGCTAGTTCCCACAAACCGTGAGCTCATGACCTGAGCTGAAATCAAGCGTTGGACAATTATCCGACAGCCACCCAGGTGCCCCACAGCACTGTTGATAAAGAAGAAAAACCCCTAAATAGAAAAAAAAAAAAAAAAAAGAAGATTGCAACCAAAGCATAACAGCAATTGCCTTTGGGAGCTAAGACCATGAAAGAACTTATATATATATATATATATATATATATATATATATACACACACACACACATATATATACATATACATATATATACGTATACATACATATATGTATGTGTATATATGTATATGTATGTATATGTATATATATGTATATGTATATATATATGTATACGTATATATACATCTGTATTTTTTCTAGTTTTTCTTATGAGAGTATGTGTTTTTTATAATTTTTTAAAACTTAACATTTTAGGGGCTCAGTTGGTTAAGCGTCTGACTTCGGCTCAGGTCATGATCTCATAGATCATGAGTTCGAGCCCCACGTCAGGCTCTGTGCTGGGAGCCTGGAGCCTGCTTCTGATTCTGTCTCTCCCTCTCTCTGCCTCTCCCCGCTCACACTCTGTCTCTCTGTGTCTCAAAAATAAATAAGCATTAAAAACATAAACTTGAAAAAACTTAAACTTTTCAGAAGAAAGAGCAACTGTCACTTGATTCTCTCAATAGAAGGACAAGGAGGATTTTGGAGTCTCACTTCCAGCTACGTGTCCCAATGTGGGCACAGGTTGGGATTGGTGGCCTGGCTTGCCCTTGACCTCTCTTTTCTTCTCCTGTGTCTTTTCTTCCCTTTCCTATTTAATATTGACATTCATGGACACACCTTGTTTTCTAGATAGTTTCCTTCCTCCAACTCCTACATCTAAGATTAAATAATAATAAATCATGATGACGGTAAATAATGGTTATCAGAGTAGCAATCACAGGATAATAAGACAAGTGCAGACCTTTGGTCCAGGTTGAGTAAGCAGCTGGTTTATTCTGCATCCTGCATCCCTGGAGGAAGCAAACTTTTGTCCTTTGCCATCCGATGGAGCTTTCAAGCTGTGAGATAATCAACAGGAACAAGTGAAGGCAGCAAACAGAACAGCATCTTTATTTGGAAGGTGCCGCCAGAGAATGAGGTGAGGGCCGCCCCTGTGGCTACAGCCTGCATCCATCCAACCACCGCATCAGAGTGTCCGAGTACTGGCAGTTCAGGGACCAGGAGGGCCTGCAGAGAGGAAAGCAGGGAGAGTGGAGAGGCAGGGCCTCCCCAGTGTCTGAGCTCAGGATCTGCAGCTCCCACACGCCCCTGCTGGGCCCTTTACAGCCCAGCCTGGCCTCTGAGGCCTTAGTGTATCTTGAGTATGAGCCTCTTGCTAACTCCAGGGCATCCTGGCACAAATGCTGGTGCTCCCTGTGTCCGCAGCATGCTCACACTGCCCTCCACCTCTTTCCAGAAGTCCCACACCAAGAACTGCAAGCCCCTGCCCCAGGCCTACAAGAGAAGTATCCTTAACTTCTCTGAAGTGAGCATCAGAGAAGCTCTGTGACTTGCCCAGGGTCAGAGGTTGAGTCCTTGATCTGAAATGGGAATCCCTGACCTTGAGCCAGGGCCCCTTTCACCTTTCCATGCAGATGTTTCACCCGTCGCCTTTTAAACTCCCTTCTAGTTCCTCCACACTGCCTAGGGCAGCTAGACTGAGTTTTTAAAAACTTTTCTCCTGATGCCCCTAAAAGTGATCTCTCTCTTCCCAGCCCCCACACCGGTTCCCAGACCCAGGTCCTCTGCTCCCAGCCTAGAAGCTGGGGGTCACCAGGCCAGAAGCAGGCCATTAGAAACCCTGTTTAGTTAGGCCATTCCACAGCCAGGCAGGCCTCCCTGAATCTTCCAGGGTAGGGGGTCCCACAGTTAGAGAAAGGGCTGTGAACCCCTGTCCCCTCACAACTGGAAAGCAGCGGGGGAACACACACATACATATTTTCAGAAATTGCGAGGCTCTCCAGAGCCCAGGGCAGGCACTGCAGAAGGGAATCCCGTGGGCACACAGGCCCTCGGACTTCTCCTTTCCTGTCTGCCTCATCCCTGCAGAGCTGCTTGATCTGATCTTTGAAAAGACACGGCTGCTTATTACTTTAATAAGAGTTCACTTTGCTGGGATTCCTGAGCAAGTGACAAGCCCTTAATCAGCCTCATCCAGCATATCTCTCCTTAGTGCTGTACAACAAAGATGATTTTAGCTCATTAGTGCCTACCCTACAGTGCCAGCCATGCTTCTAATTAATTGGGAGAATAAAGACTGTATGAAAGATATTTTAAACACTTGGAAGACACATTAAGGCGACTCCCACTTTAAAATACAATTTATTAAATTAGAAAAATGGATTAATGAATAAGTAGCATTGAGAACACTGACTCACCATTTGAAAAACATAGGGCTGGAGCCCTACTTCACTTTTTATACTAAAATAAATTCCAAGAAGACCAAAAATTTAAATATAAAAACACAACACCATGAAACTTCTATTTTCTAGTATTAACAGAAACTTAATATAGGGCTTATTTTGTACCAGGCACTGTCCTATATATTATTTTATTTTTTAACTTTTTTAATAATTTACTTTTGAGACAGGGAGAGAGAGCATGTATGTGTGAGCAAGGGAGTGGCAGAGAACGTGGGGATCAGAGGATCTAAAGAAAGTTCCAGGCTCCATGCTGACAGCAGAGACCCCAGTGTGGGGCTTGAACCCACAAACCATGAGATCATGACCTGAGCCGAAGTCAGACGCTAAACTGACTGAGACACCTAGGCACCTGGCACTGTTCTAATATAAAAGAAAACATGGCTTAATTTCTCTACAAACCTGGGGTGCTGTTTCATATTTTCACAAAATATTGAGGGATTTGATTCTGTAAAAATGTAAAACTCCTATATGAAGAAGCACCATAAACAAAGTCAAATTACAAACAGCAAACCTGAAAAAAGTAGTTCACAAAGATCGTGTGATGAAGTTCTAATAACCCTAATTTATAAAGGACACATTTATTTATTTGAGAGGGGCAGAGAGTGTAGGATCCCACTAGTTTCACACTACAGATATGCAAAGACCAAGATTAGGCCAAGATTAGGATTAAAGATAATGGGTGGGAGCACCTGGGTGGCTCAGCTGGTTAAGTGTCCAACTCTCGGTTTTGGCTCAGGTCAAAATCTCAGGGTTGTGGATTCAAGCCTCGCATTGGGCTCTGTGCTGACAGCCCGAAGCCAGCTTGGGATTCTCTGTCTCTCCTGTCTCTCTGCCCTTCTCAAATAAATAAACTTAAAAAAATTTTTTTTAATAAAAATATAGTGGGCGAAGGTCATTAACATAGACTATTAGAAAATGTACCACTTACCATGCTCCCATCCCGTCTTTTTCTTTTACGATCTTCTTAACACATTCAATTGTCTTCTTCAAATCTGGATTCAGTAAAGCTGGGGAAAAAATGAAGTGGAACAAAACGACTCCACAACTTGGCAGCTAAGTCTGAGTGATGTCAGGGAAGGTACAGGTGCTCACATTTAGAGAGGCTCCCATACGATTCCAAGGATAAATCTATCCCTAGATTTTTCTCAGACAACACTGGGAGGTAGTAGCATGTGGTAATCTTTTACTAAATCTATTGATTTTTTTCTTGTAATTCTTATAATAATATTTTCATTAAAAATGTTTGGGTATAGTGCATATACTATGCAAAGCAATCTGAGAAGCGATGCAGACAGAATGGTGAGCACAGTAAATCTGTCCCTGACTTCCTAGAGCCTGCAGTCTGAGAGAGGGCGATAAAGACCCTCGCAATTATAATACAAGCGCATCTGGCGTGATGGGGGAATGCAGCTTGGTGTGGGAGCTGATGAGTGGGGGCACCGCATTCAGGCCTGCGGGGTCAGGGAAGGGTCATTGGACCATGTGACATCTAAAAGAGTAAGGAAAAGGAGTGGAGGAATCACAGAAAGAAAACTGTTCCAGGCAGAAGAAACAGAGGTCCCCTGAGGAACCAGCATGACTAGGCATTGATCATCCCATTCTCTCCTTTGAATGGGGAAGCCAAGACTTCCCACTGGGGTTACTGCAATAGCTTCCTTCATGACTACACTTTGTCTCCTCCTTTCCCTAACACACTCTGATTGCTTTCCCTTAAAACAGTATTTCAGTGCCCCCTTGGCTGTAAAATAAACCCCCAAATCCTTGGCAAGAGTCCAACTTTGCCCCCCTATGCCCTCCCACTTCCACAACCTTACCCTTCCATCACCTTCCTCCATGACCCCACCATTAGAGACCTGCCAAGGGGCAGGAGACAAAGCTATTGTCATCCTGAAAGTGGGTGCTTTACCCCTGATACCCACAGCTTGGGAATCATATGCAGTTCCTCTTCCTGGACTTTATTCATGCTCATCTCCCAACCTGGATCAGCTCAACTAAATAGGACAGTCCTTAAAAGTCTGCCACTGACCACCATGCTCACTGCTTGGTGAGCTTGGGCCTGTTAGGTTTCTCCTTTCGTCTTGGCTACCAGAAAGCTCAGGGTGACTGCGCCCTGTTCCCTTTTCTGAATAAAATGTCATTTTGATGCAGCACTTAGCCACTAAATACATATATATATATAACTACACAAACATACATATGTGCACACATAGATACACATGTGCATACACACTTACACATGTGCATACACACACACGTGTGTGTGTGTATGCACGTGTCCTAATCCTCAGCTGCTGTGTAAATTATTTGAATGAAGTTGTGTTCATCACGCATCAGGCAGTATACCAGACACCATGCTTAGTGCTTATGTACATTAGCTGCAGTACATTAAGAACTCAACAAAAGCCCTGTGAGGTAGGTACTCTTATTGCCACCAGTTTACAGATAAAAAGCTAAGGCTCAGATCACATAACCAGTGAGAGGTGGAGCCAAGATTCTGTGTGGCCTCAAAGCCAGATAGACCTGCCACATGAGGACAGGATAAAATCCCGCTGAACTGCTCCCAGGACTTAGCACAGGGCCTAGTACCTCTCTATGGTGCCTTGCTTCCTGGTGGCTCAAGGAAATCCTGCTGGCTTGTGGCTACAAATTCCCAAAGAGACTGTTTCCCCCTCTTTTTAGAATGTCTTTGCTTTCAGAACATTCTAGCTCATCTCTTCCAGCTGACAGTGCAGCTCTCGGAGTGTCTCCGGCGCACCTCCTTGCCTTGCTCAGGCCCCATCTACACGATGACCTCAAACCTTTGCCTTAGGCCACAGGGAATCAGCTGATGTCCCCAAGTTCACCATCCCCTTCAATCTTCATTTATCTGCCTGGATTCTTGCTCCTGATTTTAGCCTGTAGGGGTTTTCCTTTCTTGCCAGGTCAACCAGGGACTATAGATTTCTTTTTTAAGTGGGCTCCACACCCAATAAGGAGCTTGAACTCAAGACCCTGAGATCAAGAGTCACGTGCTCTATCAACTGAGGCATTCAGTCACCCCAGGTTTAATTTTTCACATTTTATCTAGTGGGAGGATTTTTTAAAAGATATTGAACCATATTTTCATCACAGCACTCAGTACCCCCTCTATTACAGATAGTTATTTGTTTCTCCAGTCAGATTCTGGCAATCAACGAATCAATGAATCAATCGATTAATCTTTTTATGAGATATATATCTATTTGGTTTCTCTTTTTGGCTTGGCTACCAGGAAGCTCAGGGAGACACTGAATGGAATGATACATACATTATCCCCCTGAATGCTCACAGCAACCTTAGAAAGTAGTTAATGTTGTCCTCACTTCACAGATGAGGGAGCTCTAGGGAGTGACTCGCACAAGTCATGCCGTGCACCCGTAAGGGGAGCAGCTGGGAATCCCACTGGGAATCCCAAGGGTGTTTTCTGCACCTTTCACTCCTTCTTGGCAATACCGCCTGACCTTGAATCTGGGAACGGTCTCACTCCTGTTTGTAGCCCCAAGGACGGGCATGGGGCCCCATACCAAGCAGGACTCTCCTGGCCCACATAAGAAGTCTTTACCATGACCTCCCCACTCTGTCTCCTAATGACCCAGCTCGGCACCCATAGGTTCTAGAACACTTCTCATTTATCACGGGGGAGGCAGGTGTGCTCGTTAGGGAGACACTGAGAACACTGGGCCCTTAGACCTTCCTGGAGCCGAATGACAGCCCCAGGTGCCAGAGGGAGCTCTGCTGCACCCTGTCGATTCAGCCCTGACCCAGGAGTCAACCTGCTTGGGTTTGCCTCTCAACAATACCTCCTACCAGCTGTGTGGCTTTGGGCATGTACTAACCCTCTCTGGACCTCAGTTTCCCCATTTGTAGAATGGGGATAATAATGATGCCCTCGTCATGGGTGCCTTTGTGAATATTACACGGATTCAGATCCATGAAGAGCTTACGGGAGTACCCGGCAGGCTGCCCGCACTACAGTGGCAACTTCAGGAGACCTGGCACTCAGTGGGTGCTCAGCAAGTGGTAGGATGATGGAACCCTGGGCAAGTGCAAACCCTTGACCACAGGGACTCGGGACCCCCTGAGAGCGGCAGGGAAAGCTCCCCTTGGAAGAGCTTACTCCTGTCTCCTTTCTGTGACCCCTTCGCCTGTCCACGTGGCAGCAACCGTTCCTCTTGAAGTAGAACGTTGTGCCCAGGTGTGGGCAAAACGAGGCCCCCGCAGAGGCCTCTGCGCTAACCCTTCAGGCTCAGGTGGGCTCCGATGCCCACGGCCTCTCCTCCGCCTCCTCTCGACATTTCTGATGCCTCCTCTGTCTCTCTGGATGGGCACCTCCACTACTCTTTGGACAGCTCAGCCTGCTGTCTCTGTAGCCCCGTCTCCAGGCCCGCCTCCTCCCTGCTCTAACCCTGCAAACTCCGGCCACCCCGAGGACAGGCCTCGGGAGCGTGTGCTGCAGCCCCCGTGCCCGGTGCCCGGGTGTGGCACAGAGGGAGGGGACCTACCGGAGCAGGACACGTGGCAGCGGTTCCCGCCTGTGTCGCACCAGTCACGGTTGGGGATCTGAAAGAGGCCGTAGCCGGTGTAGTCACGTTGGAAGTTCTCATAGACGGCCGTGGGGTTGAACTTGCTCTCAAAATAAGCCAGGCACACCCCTGAGATGGAACAGGAGGCGGGTGGCTAGGAGGAAGGCAGAGCTGGGGATGCCTGGGCAGAGGCCAGAGGAGAAGGGGGTGAGGAGAGGAGGGGCTTAGAGGGGCCTACTCACAGTTTGCAAGGCTGTAGCCCTCGAAATAATCCAGGCCTCCTTCTTTGAGCTTCTTAGCCACCACGCAGCGCCCCATGATAGCCCCGCCACTTGGGACCACGAGGTAGCCAATGAGGGAAAGGACCATGGAGACCTTCATCTTCTCAGGCTCCTGGCAGCTCAGGTGAGCTGGCCGAGTCACCGAGAATTCCTGCCAGGACCCCTGGTTTCTCTGAAGGGAAAGGGTGGGGGTCTGCAAGTCAGTGTGTTTCAGAAAAAGGGGAGTCTCCCCTGGCTTAACCGGGATACTTCTTCCCACCCTAATCCTCTGCTTCAGGTCACTGCAAACCCTGCCTCTCTTCCTCTACTTGACCCCCTATTTCCTAAGGAAATTGCTCTTGTGAAGGTCACACCCGCGCATTCTTTCCCTCCAACAAAACCCAATGGCGTCAAAATCTCTCTTCCCATTTATTACGCAAGTAGAACTTGTTTATTAGGTACAAGTTAGAAAACAGAAAGAGAAGGAAAAACTTCATTGTGGTCCCACCTCTCAAGCACTGTTATTACGTTGAATATTTCCACCCCTGCATTTTATCCTAGAATATATTCAGAGTCTCACCCTTTCCACAATCTTGTCCCCAGATAGTCTACAAGTCAAGCTCTGCTGAGCTTTTCTCTGGCCGTCCACACAAGGAGACCAATGCCAGTCCAGCCCAGGCCTGCCACATAGCAGGCGGGTTCTCGCTGACAAAAGCAGGCAAGTCCCTGTGCGTCACAATTCCTGTGCTTTCTCATCTGTGAGAATGGGGGGTCATGTGTGGGGTGTGGAGTTCTTCCTTCTCCGTTTCTGTTGTCACCATCTAAACCCCCTCATCACCATCCCATTAACCACCCTCATCATCATCCCCTGAACCTCTCTCATCTCCTGACCCACCTCATCACCAAACCTTAAACCTCTATCATCAGCATCCCCTTGTTATGCCGAGAGACACAGAGGCCAACCGAGATTACCGAAGCTGAATTAAGGGGCGCCTGGGTGGCTCAGTCGGTTAAGTGCCTGACTTTGGCTCAGGTCATGATCTCATGGTTTGTGGGTTCAAGCCCCGAGTCGGGTTCTGTGCTGACAGCTACTCAGAGCCTGGAGCCTGCTTCAGATTCTGTCTCCTCTCTCTGACCTTGCCCTGCTCACACTGTCTCTCTCTCTCTCTCAGAAATAAATAAAGCATTAAAAAAAATTTTTTTTAAATAAGATGAAGCCGAATTAAGTCTTTATTACCGGCTGGGACCGCACAGAGTTAACACAGAACTCTAAATATGTGGCCCTGAGTCCAAGGGCTTAGGGCTTTTCATAATGAGCAACAGGGAAGTGGGAAGTACAAAAGCAGAACTGAGCGGTTATTGTGAAAAGGCTACAAAATGATAAAGAGAGCAGCCCTTATCCTGGTGTGTAGGAAAACATTTATAATTTTGAAGACAAGGTTTAGGGTTCTGGGGAGTTCTAAGGGAATAGCCATTATCTCAAGGACAAAGTATGCAAACTGTGTCATAAACAACCAGTAGCACAAGACATTAACCCTTGACCTCTTATTTGTTTTCTGCCTTACACCTGAGGATAGTTATGTAGGTAACTCTGAGTGCAGGCCCAGAAAGTAAACTCTGGGTCAGGATGGAAGGACGTGGCTAAATTCATGTGCAACACCCTGAACCTCCTTCTGCACCTTCACCTAAACCTCCCTCATCACCATCCCCTGAACCTCCTTCTGCACCTTCACCTAAACCTCCCTCATCACCATCCCCTGAACCTCCTTCTGCACCTTCACCAAACCTCCCTCATCACCATCCCCTGAACCTCCTTCTGCACCTTCACCAAACCTCCCTCATCACCATCCCCTGAACCTCCTTCTGCACCTTCACCTAAAGCCCTCTCATCACTGCAAGCTGTAGTCCAGCCTCTTTGTCCCCACTATTCCAGGCAGTGTTTATTTTTCCTTTCCTAAGTTTATATATTTATTTTGAGAGAGAGAGAGAGAAAGGAATTGAATCTCAAGCAGTCTCCACACTGTCACCATGGAGCCTAGCTAGGGGCTCGAACCCACAAACTGTGAGATCATGATCTGAGCCAAAATCAAGAGTCTGATGCTTAACCTACTGGGCCACCCAGGCACCCCAAGGTGGTGTTTTCAAACATGAGTGAGGAATGGCCCCAACGCATGTACAAATGTTACTTTTGGAATGCTTCTAGTTTCCTAGCCCTTATCATAGCAAACCCACACTTGGCTTTCTAAGCCCTCCATAATCTGGCCTTACCCTGTCCTCCCTCCATCAGGAGGAATCCTTCAGTCAGCTCTGAATTCTCACGTTGCTCCTTTTCTGTTCCTCTCTGCACCTCCCTGCCCCCCACCCCACTACCCGTGCCCCTTCACCTTAGTATCTCCACTCATGGCTCTTCCCAATCCTGCCATGCTTTTCCCCACCCAAACACTGCTCCATCTTCAGATGTCCACTACAGGTGCCACCTCCTTGAAGACTTATGCAATCCTGGATGAACATTCCCACTCTGAGCCCCTACTGCCCTCAGAGTCACCTCCAGACCACCTTGCAGGTGATTGTCCTGTTCTGTGCTGTGTCCTGTCTCTCAGACTAGAATGTGCAATTGGAAATGACACACATCTTCTTCCTGGCAAGCCCTACAATCCCCAACACTGCGGAAACAGATATTAATTAGACAACTAATTGCATCCTCCTGTTTGTTATCATCCACAGGTGTATGCGTGTCCTCCAGCCTACATTCACTTGCACAAGGGGTTCTTGACCTGGGCACTTAGGCTGGAATATCCTTTTTCCTGGGGGCTGGTCTATGCATTGGGGTTTATTTGGGAACACACCTGCCTTGAGGCGCCAGTAGCTCCTCCCCTTCAGTTGTGACAAACAAAAATGTCTTCATACACTGCCAAACGTCTCCTGGTGAACAAAGGTGTCCCCTGTTGAGAACTAATGACACAAATGTCTAACTTGGGAAAAGGTTAGAAATAAATGAATACTTTCCTGAATTCGAAGCATTTTACTATTCAACATTTGTTTAAACTCTCAAGTCACATGATTGGTTACAGACCTCACCGTTATATGACATTTTAGAGGAGGACTTAGCATTTAAGTGCTCAGGCTTGGGAGTCGGATTGTCTGGGTTCAAATTCTGACTTTACCCTGTAATAGCTGGGATTTTAGGGATCCCAGGAATGATCGAAGAGAGTTACTCAGCCTCTCTGTACCTCATCTAAATAATGATTAAAATGAAACTTACTTAATTGTGTTGATTTAAAAAGGAAATGAGTCAAATATGCAAAGTATATAATCCCCAGAAGACATGTGTCTTTCTGAGCTGTGGTCACCCTCCTTGCCTTTACCTTAATAACAAAATTCCAATGCATGTTGGAAGAGAAGTTCATGTTTACATTTTCCAGCAGAGCAAAGGATATTTTCAGGTGATATCTGTCTCCCAGACTCATAAAAGGCATGCTGAGTCCTCCGTCCTAACCTCTTAGTGATTTCACTGGGAGTCCTGACTCCTGCTCTATCAGTTTCTCCACGTCCCGCCATCTCCTCTGCCACCATCCCAGTCCAGAAGTCACAATTACCTGTGACTTCTGTAGAGGTTTCTAGATGCACTCTGAAACCCTACAGTCCTCTCCTCTTCCCCCATCCCTGTTACCCACACAACAATAGAAAGTCTTTTTTAAAAACATATATCCAGTCATATCACCCACCTCCAGTGGGTTCCCCTGACACTTTAAATGAGATCCAACTTCTCAACCAGGCCAACAAGACCCTTCCTGCTCTATCCTTTGAACACCTCTCCAGTCTGATTTCACACCTCTCTTTCCGCCATGCTCACAGTCATGACCTGAGCTGAAATCAAGAGTCAGACACTTAACCAGCAAAGCCACCCAGGCACCCCTTTCATCTGCTGTTTCTTCTGCCTGGAATAGGACTCCCCCAATCACCACCCAGCTTGCTTTTTGTGGTCATGGTCTCAGCTCAAAAATTATCTCAGTATCTCCTCTGATCACTGCTCCATCACAGAAAATCATTTCTTTTTTTCTTCATAACATAAGTCAGTTTCAGAAATTACCTGGTTCATTTATTTGTTCCTCTATCTCCCATACCAGAGAGTAAGCACCCAGAATGCAGAAACCTAGTCTGTTTTGTTCTCTGCTTTATCTCCAGAACTTAGAACAGAGCCTGGTGTATAGTAGGTGCTCTGAATCTCTGTTGAATGAATGAATGAATGAATGAATGAATGAATGCCAACTCTTCCCAACAGAACTGTCATTGTATAAGCAATAAATGGATTTCTGAGTGTCTCTTGCACCTGGGTATCACCATAACTGTGCTGGTTCCTGCCCGTCCAGGAACTTACCAGTTCACCAGTCCTTCTGTAGACCTTGGTGCCTCCACACAGGAGGGGAGGAGCAGCCACTGCGGCAGCTTTGACCTTTATTGCAGGAAAGTTGCTCTAGGCACTCAGTTCCCTGGGCTTTTCAGATTCCACTTCCTTGGTAACCTGCTTACCTCCACCCAAGAGCTTCTAAACCCCAAGTGCTTCTCCATAACGTGCTCTTCTAGAATCTTTTCTATGACATCAGTTGCTATACCCAAGAATATTCTGAAGCAGGCAGGGTCTGTCACCAACACTGTATTAGTTTTCTATCATTGCTGTACCAAACAAGCTACATCAAACTTAGCAGCTGAAGCTACACAAACTTATTATATTAAAGTTTTGTAGGAGAGAACCTATTCCATTGCTCATTCAGGCTGTTGGCAGAATAAAGATCCTTCAAGAAGGTATGGTTTATCTATACAATGGAATACTACATGGCAATGAGAAACAATGAAATCTGGCCATGTGTAGCAACATGGATGGACCTTGAGGGTTTTATGCTGAGTGAAATAAGTCAGGCAGAGAAGGACAGATACCATATGTTTGCACGTATAGGAGGATTAGGAGGAACTTAATGGAGGACCTTGGGGGAGAAGAAGGGGGAAAATAGTGGGGGAGAGGGAGGGAGGCAAACCATGAGAGACTCTTGTATGCTGAGAACAAACTGAGAACTGATGGGTATGGGGGGTGGGGAGGGGAGTGATGGGCATGGAGGAGGGCACTTGTGGGGATGAGCACTGGGTGTTATATGGAAACCAACTTGACAATAAACTATTAAAACAAAAAAGAATAAAGATCCTTGTAACTGTAGGGCCAAGATCCCATTTCCTTGCTAACTGTAAGCTGAGGGCCGTTCCCAGGGGCCATCTGCATTCCTTGATGCCACCTCCCGTCCCCTATCTTCAAAACCAGCAATGATGGGTCAAAACTCTCTCATGCTTTGACTCCCTCCTTCTTTTTCTAATGTTGTTGTATCTCAGACTCACCTTTATTTTAAGTATTTATTAATGTTTATTTATTTTAGAGAGAGAAACACCAAGAGTGTGAGTGGGAGAGGGGTGGGGGGAGGGGTGTGGACACAGAATCTGAAGCAGGTTCCAGGCTCTGAGCTGTCAGCACAAAGCTTGATGGGGCACTTGACCCCACGAACTGTGAGATCATGACCTGAGCCAAAGTTGGACACACTTAATCTACTGAGCCACCCAGGTGCCCCTCTGGCTCACCTTTCTGCCTTTTCTCTTCCTTATAAAGACTTGTGTGATTAGATTGGCCCACCCAGATATCCAAGATAAGCTCCCCATCTCCAGGTCCTTTCTTTCTTGTCATGTAAATAACATGTTCAGAGGTTTCAGGTGTAAGGGAATGGAGATCTTTGGAGGACCACTATTCTGCCTATCATAGCATCCTTGCAGATCCCCACAAAACTGCCATCTAGTAGGGAGCAGTGGGAGAAGCCACTGTTTTGTTCATCTAGTCACAATGGGGTCATGGTCAAGGACATCTGCATTTGTGAGATGAGGGCACCAGATTGGGTTATCTTTAAAATTCCTTCTAGCTCCAAAGAGTTAAAAGATGTTGAAATGATTGACAATAATGCTAGACTTTTGAACACACTGAAGTCCTTCTGGCTGGCTCGATTATGACTGGTAATTAGTTGATTAATTAAAAATGATAAATAGAGAATCATAAAAGAAACAGGCCATAAACCCCAAAACCTTAACCCTAAATGCACATGGGCTCAAAAATCTTTAGTGATGGCCTTTTCTTAGATATGAGTTATGGACTGGAGCACTGCTTAAGGTTTTGGCGTGCATGATATTCCATTTCTAATTTCTATATCTTTAAAGCAAATAAAAAACTTGAAAACATAAGCAAAGCAAGAACTTAAAGACATAAATCAAAGCAATGTCTCTTAGATTTCCTTTTCTAGATTTTCAAGTTTTTCTAAACTTTCTTAGTTAGATCACTCACAATTATCCCTGTAGTAGAATAATTTGCCTTTCTCAAGTCTTTCAAAGCACTCGTCTTTAAGTTTAGATAATTAACAAGCTGGAATGACTAATTTGCCCTAGTTTGGCTGGACAAAGCCTTATACTCACATAATTGACCTGTCAGTCTTAATGGCACATCTCTATTTCCTTTTAACTCTTCAACTAAATTTGCAAAAAAGTCACCACTACTACTCATCACGAGAGTATTTTGCAACTTTATGTACTTTTAAGTCATTTTTCAAAAGTAATCTTGAATTCTCATGCTTTCCAGAAAACCTGTAGTCAAGAGAGACTATGTCTCTTCTCCCAAAGTTGGGAGAGGGGATCAGAAGTCTTTCAGAGGAGGCCTGGTGATTAGCCCTCCTTTCTCTCCCCCATACCTTCACTGCTATTTGTCCAGAGCTCCACTTCTGTGCAAGACTTTAGTGCATTCACTAGAGCACCTCGGAAAACATAAAGCATCTACCGTTTTTATTATTATTGGGGTTGGTGCAGAGATGTCATGGAACAGTTTAGGGCAGAGGCTGGCAAACTACAACTCACAGATGAAACCTGGCCAGCAGACAATTCTCATAAATAATTTTGCTGGAACACAGCCACCCCCATTCATTCACGTATTTGGTTAAAATAAACTATTAGAAACAACTTATATTTCCACCAGTATTACACAAGTTACGAAATGATTTCATTCAATGGAATTCTTTGCAGCCTTGGAATTAAGCAGGCAACTCTCCACATGCTAATATGGAAAGATATTTATGAAATAATTTTAAATAAAAAGGAGCCTCAAATCAGTATCTCTGCGTGCACCAGGGAGTAATATTAATGCATATTTGCTTGTTCTGTATATGGAAAGATATGCAAAAAATTTATTACATTTGATCACAATTTCAAAACAAATAAGTAAATTACCTATTAAAAATTAAACAAAATATTTTAAAAGGTTTTAATGGCAGAGAAGAAAGTAGATTTTGAGTAACTGTTCTCATGCAGGTAGTTTCACACAGTCATACACACACAAACATGCCTACCAAACACGTTTTGAGCATCTTGGTCACATGAATGAAATTAGAACTTCCTAGAATCAATTTGTTTTAAAATGAGGAAAAAGTGCTTAGACCTGTGCAACTATCCAACTGACCTACCAAGTTAGATAATAATTATAGCCAGACACGGCTCCCCCACACTGTTCTACCTGGACATCCTACTCTTCAGTCTTCCTTTATTCATTCAATCATTAAAAGAGCAGTTATTAAGCACAGACTATGTACTGGGTCTAGGGTGGGCTCAGTGAGGAACCAGACACATCTTCTGCCTTAAACTTGAAGGAACTGTCAGGCTAATGGGAGGACATACATGAAAATTAAAATGTAGTAAGCTGAGACATGAAAGGTTAGTGTGCATAGAAGATGGACTAAACCAGCCTCAAGGCAGCCCAAACTGTAATGTTAAGGGATGAGATTCTGCCACTGGTTTTGAGATAAACTTAAATCTCTTGGGGCAAGTCCATCTCTGTCATTCCTGAGAGTGCTCTCCGCCTCTGTAAGGTGGATTCACAAGTTGCCTCCAAAGTGTGAACACCCTAAATTTTCTACCTGGACCTGCCCATCCTTCACTCGCCCATCATCTGCGGAGGGCTCCATCCATGGCTCCAGTGGGGAGCACATTACCAGGCCTAAGCCATTCAACACATCACATTCCTTTGGGCACATCGACTGGTTCAGGAATGATCAAGTAACCTAAGCTGCACCAATCATAGAGAAGATTAAGCTTTTGATTTAAAACTTCTAGAAAAGAGGTATACCCCAGTGTCTGTGAATCTAGGAGAAGAGGGGGAGCTTCTGAAATGACTGCATCATATAAGGTCACCATCATCGGGCCACCACGAGGTCACCGTGATCTGATCACAGTGAGGATCCAGAGAATGAAGACAACGTCACAGCCAGCGGAGCCAAGAGACAAAGACAAAACTAAGTCCTGGTGACATCGTTTGAATTCTGGATCAGGCTGTACCTGAAGCCAGTTCATCTTGGGACTTTCTATTCCTCTTGGTTTCATCCAATTTGAGCTGTGTCTTGAGTAGCCCTGACCCACTCACCCTTTGAGAACAACTCAGGGCTCTCCAGCTTGGTAGGTAACAGAGCCCATCAGAACTACCCTTTCCATCCTGATTTCTCTCATGAGAGTCGAGGACTTTCTCTGTGTTTATCTTTATGTAAAAATTCACTGTTCTGTGTGTCAGTAGTTGGATTTCATTCCTCTTTCAGCTGACATGTAGGGAACCCACAATACCCTTGGTTGCCTTTTTAAAAAACAACTTTAGGGGCGACTGGGTGGCTCAGTTGGTTAAGCCTCCGACTTCAGCTCAGGTCATTATCTCATGGCTCCTGGGTTTGAGCCCCGCATCGACAGCTCAGAGCCTAGAGCCTACTTCAGATTCTGTGTCTCCCTCTCTCTGCCCCTCCCCTGCTCACACTCTGTCTCTCTCTCCTGCAAAAATAAATAAAAGTTTTTAAAAAGTTTTTAAACAACTTTATTGGGGCGCCTGGGTGGCGTAATTTGTTATGCCTCTGACCCTTGGTCTCAGCTCAGTTCATGACCTCCCGGTTCTGAGTTTTAGCCCCACATTGGGTTCTGTGCTGATGGTGTGAAGCCTGCTTGGGATTCTGTCTTTCCTTCTCTCTGCCTCTCCCCCACTTGTGTTCATGCTCACACTCTCTCTCTCTCTCTTTCAAAATAAATAAACTTAAAAAACAAAATAAAAATAACTTATTGAAATATAATTTATTCTATATAATTAACCTATTTAGAATATAGAATTGGATGATTTGGGAATATTATGCTATATTTTTTAGTTGTGGTAAAATATATGTAGCATAAGTTTTGTTATTTTAACCATTTTCCAGTGTACAATTCAGTAGCATTAATTACATCCACAGTATTATGTAACCATCACTGATATTTACAAAAATTCTTCATCACCCAAACAGAAATTACACCCTTTCATGCCTCCTTCCTGCCTCTTTCATCTTTCTGTCTCTGTGAATTTGCTTATTGTAGGTACTTTATAGAAGTGGAAGCATACAATGTTATCTTTTGTTTTTGGCCTTTTTCACCTTGTTTGACTTTTTAACTTATTCTAAAAATGAAAGTAATTGGATCACTATTGAT